TTTTGTAAGAAACAGCCAAACGATTTCACATTCCCACAAGTAATGGGAGTTCTTGTTGCTCTGTGTCTTCCAGTGTTTGGTGTTGTCAGTGTGGTATTTAGAGAATGGAGTCATGGTCAGCTGATGCCAAAGCAGGAAGGGTGTGGTGGACGGTCTGGCGTAAAGCACCATGGCGGCCAGGAAACAGAACCGATGGACCGTCCTCCCTCTCTCTCTTTCTCTCTCTCTGGAGTTTTATAGTCACTGTCTCTGTCTCTCTCTCTCTCTCTCACTCGGGTTTGAACCCAGGAGTGTTGTACATTCCTACCCCTTTTTTAAAATTCTATTACATTGAGATGGGGTTAGCTAGGTCACTGAGTTGCCCTGGCTGGCCTCAAAATGGGATTTTGCTATCTCTCCTTCTCAAAATGTTGAGGTTAAGGGTTGTAATTTGTTTTGTTTTTGTTTTTGACTGGAGGTCTCACTATCTAGTTCAGGCTGGCCTTGAACCTGGAGTCCTCCCACGTCAGCCTCCTGTATCTGAGTGCTTAGATTATAGGTGTGTGCCACCATTATGACTTAGGCAGGCTTTAAATAGAAAAACATCATTGTCAGATTGATTTAATATAATGTAGTGGTGATATTCTGTAGGATCGTGGTTTTTAAAAAATTGCAGCAATGTAGGAATTCAAGCAAGGGCAGTAGAGAGCCTAATTCTGTGGATGTGTTTTACGTGTGTGGGTTTCGTGTATAGAAAGTACATGATAAAACCAAGAAAATATGGTTAACAGTAAGATGAAAGCCAGGAGTAGTCATGCATACTTGTAATCCCAGCACTTGGGAGGCTGAGGCAGGATTGCTGAGAACTTGGGCGACATAGTAAGTTCAGGGCCAGCTTGACCCTACATAGCAAGATCTTGTCTCAAAATAAAAGTAAGATGGAGAGAGAAGAATCATGCATGAAGCTAAGATTTCTGGATTTAAAGAGATGATGAGTAGCTTGCACATTATGAATATTTATTTTACTACCATAACAATAACTAAACATTTCTGCTGGTCAGAGGGCTTGATCAACATTACAGTATCAATAGCCAAGAAAAAAAATTTCCAGGAACTTTTATTCCAGGATCTATACTAGTATAAAGTTTATTAGCTAGCCATCACAGTAATTATAGTATAGACTTAGGTTGAATGGAGAGCTGAGTGATGAGCTCTTTGAAAGTACTGACTCTCCACACTTCCCTGAAGCATTTTTGCCCAGAGTCTGTCACCTGGTACCTGTACTAGGAAATACATGCTAGTAACCTTTGGAAAACAGTGGTGTTACCAAGTCAAAATTACTAACTGATGTTATTTCTTGTGCAGGTGGGGTTTTGTTCCTATACCTGTGTCCTGAGGAGTTTTACCTATTTTATCTTCTAGCAGATTGTTCTAACATTTAGACTTGTGATCCATTTTGATTTTGTTTTAGCACCTTGAGAGATGGGGATCTCGATTTAATCTTCTGTATGTGGGTAATTACTTTTCCCAACACCATTTAATAAAGAGAGTATCTTTTCCTCCAGTGTGTTTTGTTAAAGATCTAATAGCTGAATGTGCCTTGAGTTGTTTCTGTATCCTTTATTCTGTTCCATTGATCTACAGGTCTATCTTTTTTCCTGTAATACTGTGAGGAATGCTGTAAGTATTTTATTTGAGGTTGCATTAAATCTGTTTACTGGTTTTGGAGGTATCATCATATTGACAATATTGGTTCTGCCTGTCGAGAAATGGGATATCTTTCTTTCTTTCTTCTTTCCTTCCTTCCTTTTTTCCTGACAGACTTGCCTTGTATTCAGGGAGGCCTTGAGCTCACTGTGTAGCCCAGGCTTACCTTGAACTGCCTGAGCTCCTCCTGAGCATCCTGAGTGCTGGAATTACGTGTCCAGCTTGGCTTTCATTCTTTATAACACATTAAAAACAACAACAACAAAAACAAACACTGTGTCTTAAATTTGAGCCGTAAGGTCCCAGTAGATTTCTGTCCTTTGTATAAATGGTTTTGTTCATATACATTTAGAAAAAGTTTTCTGGGGCTTACGGCTAAGAATATGCTTCAATTGGCTCACTTTCCCCCCAAGTTTATTTGCAGCAATCAGATGCCCAGAAGTGTTTTATAGGTTGCTCGTATTAACCAGCTGCCTCTGGCACTGAGTATCAGTTATGAATTGTTTGACTCTTAAGTATTTTTTTTAACTCTTAGAATCAGTTCTTTTGATGTCTATATTGTCATCTTTGCTTAAATGCATTGAATGCGTTATACTAAACAATTTTGGGAATGTTAAAGGATGAACTTCCTAAAGACAAGGGGTCACAGGCTGGGGATATAGCTCCTTAGTAGAGCCCTTGCCTGGTTTATGCAAGGTTCTGGTTTTGATCCTCGGCACAAGGATAAAAAAAAAAAAAAAAAATTAAATTTCTTAACACCAAGAGGGGACAGTTGAAGTGGAGAGATTGATATAGGGGAATAGGATACACTGGGGTACGGGGGGATCAGAATCTTGCTGTGAAGTACAGGCTGGCCTTGAACTCACTAAATGTAGTCTAGGTTAGCCTTGAACTTCAGTCCTCTTGCCTCAGCCTTCTGAGTGCTGTTGGAGTGCTGGGATTATAGGCCTGTGCCACCACAGCTAGCGAGGGTACTTTTTTTTAAATCATGATAGAAATCTTATTTAGTGGGACCAGTGATCAAACTCACAGTCTTGCAGTTGTCAGACAAGTGCTTGTGCCACTGAGCTAAATCCCTGGCCCTAGAAATCTCATTTTAAATTCTGGTGATGGGTACATGACTCAGTGTTAAACTCAATACTTAAAAGGAGCGAATGGGAAGAAAAAGACAGACTGTCCCCCACCCTGCCCCATATTGGGGATTGAACCCTATGCTTTTGCACTATGCTACATCCCCACCTTTTTTTTTTTTTTTTTTTACTTTTTATTATTTTGAGAGAGGATCTTGCCGAGCTGCTAAATTGCCCAGGCTATGCATGAACTTGCCATCTTCCTGACTCATCCTCCCAGAATGCTGAGATTGTAGGTGTGTACTATCCTGTTTGACATCCCGTACTTAAAGAACAAGTGTAAGAAACAAAAAACACAGTTGTAAGAGTTTTTATTGTTTGAGTAATAACGCAGAAATCAATCATAGTCCCTATGCAATGATGTGGCAAGTTTATGTGTTGATCCTTTATCTTCTGAGCTCTTAAAATCTTCTTTTATGCTATTAGACTTTTGTTTTGATCACAAATGCAATTTAGGAGTGAATAATGAAATGTATTATCTTAAACCCTTCCACTACTCAATTTTCTTTCAATAAAGGGACAAATGTCCCTTAATTGCATATTAAGCCATAGTTGCTCAGCCTGAGGTGTTACTAAGAGGCTACAATTCAGTCTTCTAGAATCCTTGTAAACTTTAATTGTGGGCTACATGTAATTCTGTTAAAGGACCCCATGAAGACTATGTCCTTCAGGCATTAAAAGAATACCCTCTGGTCCCCTTCTGTAAGAAACAAGGATACTTCAGGCACTAGTCCTGTTATTGGTAGTGTGTCTTCAGTGCTGAGGTTGCTAACTGGTTTGGAGACAATTAGAAAGGATCTTCGGCAAACTGGAGACCAATGAAAAGTCACACAGGGCAGGTCTTCCTGAATAAATGGGTTTCATTCTCCTCTTGAGATTGACCCCAGCGTGGCCACTGGGCCATGTCCTGCTGCCAGGTGGCTTCTGTTTAAGACCTTACTTGTGTTGCTTGTTCTTTGTGTTTCTTGCTCCCTAATAACTGGAGTCTCTTACTAACTAGAGACTAACTTACTAACTAGAGACAGTTACTCAATCATGTTTATTAACTTTTTAAAATCATGTTTGTTGAATATAGAATCTGTTGTTTGCAGAATTTTTAGGCCTTTTTATGGAAAATAAACATTGAAATTAATTAGATTCAATCGTTAGCTGTTGAATATTATGCAAAGAATTACATGAGGCTGTGGGGGCACATAACTGTAATTCTAGCACACAGGAGGCTGAAGGAGGAGGATTGCTGTGAGTTCAAGGCCAGCATGGACTACATAGTGAGTTCAAGGCAAGCCTGTACTACAAAGTGAAACCCTGTCTCAAAAAAAAAAAATAAATAAATAAATAAAATAAAATAAAATATAAAACATGATCTGATCTTTTTTGGTTATATTTTATCCAATTTAAAAATTACCTTTTTATTGACATCCTTTGAAAATTTGTTACAGTTTTTTCTATCTTTTTATCTTTGAATAAAATGAATTTGAAAAAATGAAAGGAAAAAAACCTCCAAAATGCTCAGAAATAAATATAGAGAAAGGCAGTGTCTCTCTACATGACTCCAAATTCAAAAAAAAAAAAAAAAACACCTTTTCTTTTTTTAGCTGAGTATTTTGTAGCATGTGCCTATAATCCTAGCATTTAGAGACAAAGACAAGAGGGTCCCTGTGAGTTTAAGGCCATTCTAAATTGCATAGTGAGATTGGGCCACATACTATGTTCAAGACCATCCTAAACGACATGGTGAGACTCTTGTCCAAAACCAAACCAAAGCCAGGCATTACACAACTGTATGGTTGTGAGTTCAAGGCCAGCCTTAGCTACAGCTACATAATGAGTTCAAGTTCAGCCTGAATTGCACGTGAGACCTTGTCTCAAAAAACAAAAACCAAACCAAGTCAAACAAAATAAAGTCACCTTTTTTTCTGAATGGCTACAGACTTTGTTTAAAATGTTGTTTTATAGCTGGGGGTTTAGCTCAGTGACTAAATTGCCTGCTTGGTAAGCCCAAGGTCATGAGTTTGATCCCTGGGACAAAAAAAAAGTTGCTTTGCATATAATGGGCAATAAAAAGTTTGTAAAGTACTTTTTGTCAAAAGTAACTATAGATACTTATCTTTCTATTTGCATGTGTTTTACATTTTAGTTTCAGAAGTATTTCTAATTTGCTTGTATTTTGTTTATATTTTTTAGTGAAAATGTTCTCTTTGGAATGGGAAATCCTCTTCTTGACATCTGTGCGGTAGTGGACAAAAATTTCCTTGATAAGTGAGTATTAAATTCTTCAAATGTATGGTGTAAAACTTACATCTGAAAAATAAGTGACAAAAACTGTAGAAACTAATTTATCATTTTCAGCTGGGGAAAAACTCAGGAAATTTAAATCTCTTAGTAGCAAGTGCACTGTCATTATTTATTAACTGTCCTCAATTTTCCTTTGGCAAACTGATATATTTTATTTATTCCTGTTGCTTTTAACTTAAAATTTATTATTTTTATGTTTTAGAAGTGCTGGTGATTGAACTCAGGGCCTTGGGAAGCACTCAGTGATGGTTCCTGATTTATTATTGAAGGAGGAAGTATTATACAGATGGTTTGCCTAATGACTAACTTCCTAGAATTTTAAATTACTGTTAATGAACTGTATTCATAATGGGACCATAACACACTGGCACAGGAAGGAAAGATAAAGTTAGAAATGACAAGAAATATACCCAGGCTGTGGCACATACCTGCAATCCCAGCTATTCAGGAGGCCAAGACCAGAGGGCTGCAAACTTGAGACAGTTTGTGCAATTTAGTGATATACTGTTTCCAAAAACAAGCAAACAAACAAAACAACAAACAAACAAACTTAGCTGAAAAATCAGTTTATCTACTTATTTGAGATGATTTGGTATAATTAAGTACTAAAAAATTTAATAATGAGTGAAAAGATCTATCTTCACAGATCCCAAACTCTGAGCCCAGAAACAACTACTTTTTAACTGAAGTAAGATTTACATAATATGAAATCAATCATGTGGGCTAGGGGTTTAGTTCAGCAGCACAAGTCCTGTCTGGCAAGTGCGCGGTCATGAGTTTGATCCTTGGTCCCCCCGCCCCCGCAACTTAAAATCAATCATGTTAGCCGTTTTCAAGTACACAGTTCAGTGACTGCCAGTACCTTGTACACTTGTCATCATGCAAAAATGAAACCCCTGTTCACACAAATGGAATCAGATCATAATGTGACCTGTTTATATTGATTGAGTCCTCATAGCAAAAAGCTTTTATTGTTCACTTACATCGTAGGTCTTTATTCCTTTTTGTGGTGTAATAACATTCCCAGATTGTATGGCCAAGCTCCATCTGTTTCAATGGACCCTTGGGTACTTTCCGTTTTTGTCTAGCATAATGAATAGTGTTGCTTGTTATCATTCTTGAACAAACTTTTCTATGGATTCTTATTTCTTTTGGGTATATCCAAGGGAATGGAATTACTAGGTCATATACTCATTCTATTTTAATCTTTTGAGAAATCAAGAAAATTGTTTTCTACAGTAGCTATGTCATCCTACCCAGTAGTGGGATTATAAGTATGTGCTGCCGCAGCCAGCCCATTTTAAAATTATAGCTTTCTAGTAGATGTTACGTTGTTATGGGTTTTATTTATTTATTTATTTATTTTTGAGATAGGGTCTTGCTGTGTTGTTCAGGCTGGCCTTTGACTTATGATGTAGCCCAGACAGGCCTTGAACAGGCCAGACAGGCCCAGACAGGTGATTCCCTTGCCTCAACCTCTGAGGGCTGGGATTGCAGGCACCTACCACCATGCCTGACTTAATTTGCATTTTTCTGATGACTAAAAATACTTACATTCTTTTTACCACTTGTGACTATTTGTATATCGTTGGGGAAATGTCTGTTTTTCTTTTTCCATTTTGTTTGTTGGTTTTGTTTTTTTTGAAACAAGATCTCGCTTTGTAGGTTAGGCTAGCCTTGAACTCACTATGTAGCCCAAGTTGGCCTGGAACTCATGAAGATCTTCTTGACTCAGCCTCCACAGTGCTGGAATTATAGGCAGATGCCACCACACCCAGCTTCTTTGCCCATCTTAAAATTGGGTTGTTTATCGTTTTATAATTTATAGAAATCCCTTCCCAGACCTCCTTGTGGTCTGAGGAGTTAATACTTATAATTCCAAAGGAAAGTTATTGAAAATCTAATCTGTCACTTTCAGTGTGACCCATGCTAAGAATAAAGATGGTAAACTTGTAGAATAAAGATGACATACTTGTAGTTGTGAGGAGCCAAGGCGGTCCTAAGTCCAGTAAGAACAATGGCCCAGCCCATGGCCGAACCCAGGTTTTGTTAAACTTTACTGTAAAGAGGGAAGTGACTCAGGGATGAATGACTATGAGAATAGCGGTGTGAGTGCTGTCAGCTGGGGCAGGTAGGAGGCCTGAAATCACCTTTGCAGTATGGAGAGAGAGAGAGAGAGAGAGATGCAGAAAGAGTAACCTGCATATCACAGATCAGGGCAGTATCTTGTGTTTTGGAGTTGGTGCTTCAGTTTTGATATGTAATCCGTGCTCTGAGAAGTCATGGCCTCTTTTCCTGAGGCTCATTTTCAACCAGAGCTAGGCTTCCCGGGGCCTAGCTCACACCTATAACTTGGGAGCTGTAGGCGGGGCATCACTTACCTGTCATATTGCTTAAAGATTACACATTAGCACCTGGGTTAGACCCATTTGCATTGCCTAGAGCCAATTGAGGGGGTAAAGACAAATCTTAGCCAGCTCTGTACATAGCAGTACACAGACATAAGGCCAGGTTTAGCCAAAATGGAGACAACTGCTCTGCTTTCAAGGAGATCCTTCCTGGTGTCCTCCACATTGTTTAGTCATAAAAGTTACATTCTGGGGCTGAGGATTTAGCTCAGTGACACAAGCACCTGCCTGGCAAGCACATGTTTTCAAGTTTGATCCCTGATACAAAAAAAAAAAAAAAAAAAAAAAAAAAAAAAGTTGTATTCTGGACGCTAGACCCATACCAGATATATGAGTTATAAATATTTTTCCCATTCTGTGGATTGGGCTTTAGTTTCTTGATGGTGTTCCATGATACAAAAGTTTTACATTTTGGTGCTGTTCAATCTCCTACCCCTTCTGTCCTCTGTGTGTGTGTGTTCCCTGAGGCCTTTGCACTGAGCTATATCCCCATACCTTTAAAAAAATTTTTATTTATTTATTTTTTACTTTTCATTTTTGAGGCAGGGTCTCACCATGTTGCTAAATTGCGCAGGCTGACCTCAGATGGGATTATTCCTGCCTTGGTTTCTCACACCCATGGGCCAGTGTCCCCTTTTACTGTTGTTTATAAGAATCTGTTGTTAAGTGCAAGATCATGAAGATTCATGCCTGTATTTTCTTCTAAAAGCTTTATAGTTTTAGCTCTTGGACTTAGGACTTTGTTCCATTTTGAGTAAATTTCTGTGTAGGGCATAAAGTAAGTGTTGAAATGTGGAAGTTTTTGCATGTAGAAATCCAATTGTCTCAGCACTGTTTGTTGAAGAGATTATTCTTTTCCCCACTGAATGATTTGGGTACCCCACCTCTTAATCTTTGAGTAAGTAAATTGAAAGCACAATAAAATACCACTCCATACCTGTTAGTATGGCTAACAATATTTAAAAACTGAGCATGCTAAGTGTTGGCCAGGTTTGGAGGAACTGTTCTCTGTAGTGTAAAATAGTGCTCCCAGCTCGACAGTAAACATACACCTTCCATGTTCTCCAACCATTTCATTGTTAGGTATTTACTCAAGAGAAACAAAGGCATACATTACTACTTGTTCACAAGTGTTTATGGTCACTTGTTTTCAGTTGTTTGTAAGGTTTGTTTGTCTGTTTATTTTTTGAGTCAGGTTATGTAGTTCAGGGTGGCTTTGAAATCACTGTAGTCCAGGCTGGCCTTGAACTCACAGTGATCCTCCTGTCTCTCAGCCTCCTGAGGACTGGGGTTATAGGTATTCGCCACCGTGCCAGGCTGGTAACTTTGTTGGCAGTAACTGAGTTTATACCATGAAGGTCCATTTCTCATGAGGACCATCTGCCTTGCAGTCTCAAGTGAAAGAGCTGTCTGAGATCTGTTTCTCCAGCTGTTTTTTAGTTTGTCAATTTTAGTTGTAACCTATTGATTCCTTGTTAAGATAGTGAAGTATTTATTTCTCTTTCACCTATCACTATTTTATATTCTGTATCTTTTCCATTTGCTAGTATTACATTTTAAAAAAATCAGTAATCATTGTGAATGAAGTTGTGAATAATAATTATTTACAAAGTGTTTCATTTTTTGTGCCATGTCTTATGTTCATTGTTAGGTGCCTATTAACTGTTTCCTACTTCTGCATTCAGTAAGTCTGTTGGCTTTTTTCTCTCTGGTGACTGCCTTCTGTCCTTCGTCTTTGAACTCAAAACCCCACTGATGGTAGTATTAGGCTTCTACCGGCCCTAAAGACTGTTTCCTGCAACTTATGATTTCTCCTGCTCTAGATCTCTAGTTTCCTGACTGTCAGATCTTTGCTTTTGTTGGTTTGTTTGTTTGTTTTTGTTTTTGAGATTAGAGTCCCTTTGTAGTTCTGGCTGGTTTTAAAGATCCTCCTCCTCCACTGGCCTCCCAAGTGCTAGGATAACAGGTATGTACCTCCCTGCCTAACATCATACTTTTTTCCCCCTCAAGGGCTAGTAGCATCCTAAAAGAAAGAGTACAGGGCCAGGGATTTAGTTCAGCAGCATAAGCACTTGCCTAGCAATCGCGAGGTTGTGAGTTTGATCCTAAAAAAAAAAAAAAAGTACAGAAATACATGTATTAGAGGAGCTTGAGTCCTTTGTATGTCTGATAATCTTAAAATTTTTTCCTGTCACACCTTATTGATTAGTGTAACATTTTCCTTAAGAATTTTAAGGTCATTGTGCCATCATTTTCCTTCATCGGGTGGGGTGCCTCTCTTCCCCATGGATGTCATCAGTATTTTTCCTTGCTAGAGGCTTTTAGGATCTACTTTTTATTTTTTGTGTTAGTAAATTATTATTATGTCCCATTTTTTTAATGGTTGCAATTTTTTTCCTTGTCTGTAAACATTAGAAATTGTTTTGTTTGATTTTTGAAGATTTCTGTTTCTTACATTATCCTCCTGGTTTCCTCTTTTTGTACTGTTGTGGTCTTTCTCCTTTGTGATGGAAAATTGTCTTTATTGTTAGATGATCTTTGGCTATATATTAAGGG